TGAAGGAAAAAAAACATTCGACTTCCAGCCAAAATGGAGGCATAGGTGGACGCACCGTACCTTCACGCACAACCAAGATTGGGACAACAACAATTTAGAGGCAGGATAACACCCAGAACTGATAGAGAATTTATCTGAATGGAAGTCGGACAGCCAGGAAGTTGAAATAGACCTGTTCATCTACACAGGTAGGAGGGGCAGAGACCAGCAGCCGGGCGTGGGTCGTGGCATGGAGAAAAGGGAGAGTTGGGCGCATAAGGCAACTGGGAGCACGTAAGGCATCTGGGGCGTGCAAGATCGCAGTGGGTGGACCCTAAGTACACAAGCGGCAGCTGGCAGACCCAGTAAGGCAGCGATTGTGGAGCAGGGCAGAGCGCGCAACCCAGGATCCCAGGGAAGGGACTGAGGTCCCACGGAGAACTGAGCTACCGCCATTGTTCCCTCTCGACCCTGCCCTCATACACGTCACAATCCAGCGACAGGGGTGCCCAGCCCTGGTGAACACCTAAGGCTCCGCCCCTTCCCATAATAGGAGCGACCAGACCAAAAAAAAAAAAAAGAAAAAAAAGAAAGAGAGAGAAAGATGGCTGAAACAAAAGAACAAATCAGTGCCCCAGAACTCATCCTATTGAGCGACCAAGAGATAGCTAACCTATCAGATGCACAGTTCAAAACACTGGTGATCAGGAAGCTCACGGAATTGGTTGATTTTGGTCACAAATTAGATGAACAAATGCAGGTTACCATAAAAAAAATGAAGGAAAATGCACAGGGAACCAATAGTGATGGGAAGGAAACTGGGACTCAAAACAATAGAGTGGACTAGAAGGAAGAAAGAAACAACCAAACAGGAAAGAATGGAGAAATAAGAATTCAAAATAATGAGGAGAAGCTTAGGAAACTCCAGGACATCTTTAAACGTTCCAACATCCGAATTATAGGGGTACCAGAAGGGGAAGAGATAGAGCAACAGATTGAAAACGTATTTGAGCAAATAATAAAGGAGAACTTCCCCATTCTGGAAAAGGAAATAGACTTCCAGGAAGTCCAGGAAGCTCAGAGAGTCCCAAAGAAGTTGGACCCAAGAAGAAACACACCAAGGCGCATTATAATTACATTAGCCAAGGTAAAAATGAAGGAGAGAATCCTAGAAGCAGCAAGAGATAAGGGGACAGTAACCTACAAGGGAGTTCCCATCAGACTGTCAGCTGATTTCTCAAAAGAGACCTTACAGGCAAGAAGGGGCTGGAAAGAAGTCTTCCAAATCATGAAAGACAAGGACCTATATCCCAGATTGCTCTGTCCAGCAAAGCTTTCATTTAGAATGGAAGGGCAGATAAAGCGCTTCTCTGATAAGGTCAAGTTAAAGGAGTTCATCCTCACCAAGCCCTTATTTTATGAAATGTTAAAGGGACTTATCTAAGAAAAAGAAGATAAAAACATGTATAGTGAAATGACAGCAAACTCACAATTATTAACAACCACACCTAAAACAAAAACAAAAAGAAACTAAGCAAACAACTACAGCAGGACCCAAAGCACAGAAATGGAGATCACATGGAGGGTTAGCAACAGGGGAGTGGGAGGAGGAGAGAGGGGGAAAAGGTGCAGAGAATAAGTAGCATAGATGGTAGGTAGAAAATAGACAGGGGAGGGCAAGAATAGTATGGGAAATGTAGAAGCTAAAGAACTTATAAGTATGACACATGGACATGAACTAAAGGGGGGAGAAGTGGGTGGGAGAGGGTGTACAGGGTGGCGGGGAGTGAAGGGGGGAAATGGGACAACTGTAATAGCATAATCAATAAAATATATTTAAAAAAAGAAAAAATCAATCAGAGCAGCAAGAGGAAAAAAGAATCCAAAAAAACAAGGATAGGCTAAGGAATTTTAGGACAACTTCAAATGTATCAACATTCAAATCATAAGCGTGCCAGAAGGAAAAGAGAAAGAGCAAGAAATTGAAAACTATTTGAAAAAATAATGAAAGAGAACTTCATTAATTTGGTGAAGGAAATAGACATACAATTCCAGGAAGCACAGAGAATCCCAAAGAAGATGGATATAAACAGAACCACATCAAGACACATCACAATTAAAATGCCAAAAGTTATAGATAAAGAAATAATCTTAAAAGCAACAAGAGAAAAGTAGATAGTTACTTACAAAAGAGTTCTCATGAGACTGTCAGCTGATTTCTGAAATCTAGCTGATTTGCAGGCTACAAGGGACTGGCAAGATTTATTTAAAATGATGAAAAGCAAGGACCTACAGTCTAAATTACTCTAGACTGTAACACTATCTAACAACGCTATCATTTAAAATTGAAGAGCAGATAAAGCGCTTTCCAGACAAGGTAAAACTAAAGGAGTTCGTCATCACCAGCCATTATTACAGAAATGTTAAAAGGACTTAAAGAAAAAGAAGCTAAAAACTATAAACATTAAAATGGCAATAAATTCACAACTATCAACAATTGAATCTAAATAACAAACTAAGCAAACAAGAAGAACAGAGATAGAATCATGTCATCAAGCGAAGTTTACCAACTGTCCATCGAATGAACTGGGTAAATGAAGAAAGTCAGTGAACTGTGTTTTTTAGGGCAAGTTTATGTATTTTCAGTGGAGATGTGAATTCTCTGTGTTCCTGATTTTGTGTGCCAAGTGAGGTTCATAGTGCATAATAGAAATTGCTGAGGGATGGCATGGAGGTGACATCCCTAAGTCGCTACCAATAGGCCCTCTACTTCTTGGATACATACATGTGCAAGATCTTGCAAGGTAAGACCCTAATGAGAGAACATTGTGTTCCAAGTAGGGGCACAGCTCCAGTCATGCTGAGGAGCTCAGACACCATCCTGGACTGTAAAGGAGTTTTCCTAAGAAGCTACTCATAGATCTTTATGAAAAAGTAGCATCCATCTCCCTAGCTGGTGTGGCTCAGTGGACTGAGTGCTGGCCTGCAAACCAAAAGGTCGTCAGTTTGATTCCTAGTCTAGGGCACATGCCTGAGTTGCAGGCCAGGTCCCTAGTAGGAGGCACACGAGAGGCAAGCATACGTTGATGTTTTGCTCCCTCTCTTTGTCCCTCCCTTCCCCTCTCTCTAAAAATAAATAAAAACCATTTTTAAAAATTGAAGAAAAAAACGACGATCTCTGTTTCTTCTTTTCATTTTTCTTGGCTTTCTTCGATCTCCTTTTTGTATCTTCATGTGCAAATTAAAGCAATTAGAAATTAAAAAAAATTTAATTCTAATTCCCCAATACTTTTGAGTACATAAATATCACATCACTGTTCTATTTGTTGTGACACAGAAATTCATTCATTTATTGCTACTTGTCACTGTACGAAGCACCGGGGACACAGATATTAAAGTCACATTAGGTATTTGCTGATATAGGGCATTATTATTAATTTTATCACATGAAATAATAGTATTGTGATTAAGTAGGAAAATGTCATAAAAGAGATGTATACAGAAATCCTTAGAGTGGCAGTGTGATGTTTATAATTTATATCGACTATCTCAACAACAAGAAAATACCGTATTTTGCTATGTATAATGCGCACCCACATTCTTGTGCGCATCTTACATGGCATTATTATGCCCATGGCATGTAATCATTATACCCATGTATAATGTGCACCCTTATTTTTCCCTCAAAAATTTGGGCAAAAAAAAAGTGTCCACTACACATGGCAAAATACAGTATTTGAAACAAACATGTGGAACTACTAACAATCGTTAAAATCAAGGTGATACGCATATGGTACTATACTGTTCTCTTTACTTTTCTGAATGTTTGGGTATTTTCAAGATGGAAAGAGAGAAACCTTTGTGTGTGTTTGGGGGGATGCTTTCCAGCAGCACAGTCTATTGCAGGAGACAGAGGTAAAGAGATAACCAGCATCCCGAGTGACAGAGGAAGCCCGGGGTGCTCTAGGCCTACAGAGGAGTCTCACAGTCAGGCTGATTTGGGGAGGGTGGTTGAGGAATGGCTGACCACGCAAAGGTGACCCTTAAGCTAGCTCTTTTTAAAATCCGTTCTATTACAAAAGTAATGCCTGCCCATTGTTGCAATGAGTAAGCCAAGCCGCATGCCGGGAGAGACTGGCATTGCAGGCAGACGGATTATCTGCATCAAGTAACAAAATCGAGAGAAGGAACATGGAACACGGAGGAGACAGAAAGTAGTCCTCAGGCTTGTAACTGAGGACATCACGAGAGAAAGTGACAGGGTATGTGTGATTAGAGTGGATCAATCAGGGTGTGAACTTTACTGTGAAGGCTATGGAGCACTACTCAAGGGTTTTAAGAAGGGGACTGACATGCTCAGATTTGTGCTTTAAGAAAGTTGGGTCTTCCAGCTGTGAGGAAGAAAAGTGACAATGGGGGCCAGGAAACCCAGGTGACATCAGAGGAGGGGACACCTTTATGTAGTGTGTCCCCAGAGGAGTCACCCTCTGCCAATCATCAGGCAGGACTAGATGCAAACAGGTGGCTTTTGTGCTGTGCCAGCCCACAGGGTGTCTTCCTTAAATGAGCTGCCAGCCTGAAGGGGCCCTTTATGGTGTGGCTTTTTGAAAATTGCACAAAGGTGCCCACTGAGTGTGAGAATTACACAAAAGAGCTGCTCCGCTGGGCTGAGGCAGTCCCGTATGGCTTGGTTTGGTACCACGTCTTGCAGCCCCACCCCAACTTGGTTCGGTGCCACATGCCTTGGACACCTGCACACAACCAATCTAGAGTCACCCTGCTTAGGTTTGAATCCCAAATGTGTGACCGTGATGCTCCATGCCTCCTTTTCCCCATCTCAAAGAACTATCCTACAGTTGCTGTGTGGATGAAATAGCAAGCACATAGCAGGGTGCCCATCCCAAAGTCAGTAAGTGTCCAAAAACTCTTGACTGTTATTGTTGTTTTTAAGAGCATGCTTCTGAAATGAGCTTTAAAATGTAAAAGAAGTTTTGAAGTGAGGCTTGCAGAATGATGTGACCATCTTACCAGAGGAGTCTGTTTCAGAATCAGAGTCACTGTCACTATCGTCAGAATAATTCTTGTGTTTTCTTTTAGATGATTTTTTCTTCCTTCTTTTCTTGGACCTTTCTTTTGAGTGACTATCCTTCTTCTTCTTCTTCCTTTCTTCTACAGAGAATACAAATAAAAAACTAACTTCTAAAGAAGTGTTTCTGAGTATTAATTTTATTTTATTTGAAATACTGAAAAAAGAGTATGTGATAGACGATTTGAAGAAAAGCAAAGTCTAATGTTTAACTATTTATAAACTTACTTTTTAACTTGTAAATAAAGAAGCTCCGTATTTGAAACATACCTTCTGAGGCAGTGGGGCCGGGATTTGGTAGCTGGTGTTGAAAGAAAAGCCCTTGGGTGCATCCTTGCCCTGGGACTGTGCCAGTGGCAGCTGTCACTCAATGGCACAGAGGAAAAAAAACAAAACAAAACATACCTTCTGAAGTAGAAGCTGAAGTGGTGCTTTTCTTTGGTTCCTCATCCTCTACTGGTGTATGTTCATCAGAGCTGAATTTAAAGAACATGGTTATTGTAGTGATCATATACTGCAAGTTTGAAAACATGTGGATTATACCTGGAATGGATGATTTCTCTCATCAGCAAGTATTACTTAAATAAAATAGGAGGTGCTTAAGATAAGATACTGCTCTATAGTAGTTTGCTTTTGAAGGATGGAATGGTAACTATTTTTTCCCATAGCTCTTTCTTTTGAAAGAAGAAAGTATTAACTGACCTCATCTTGAAAAGTACATTTCTGATTGCACATTGACTGGAATATTTTCTTTGTGCATATAGACTAATGATGTGATTTGTAAAATGATGGTTGAGGACTGCTCATACACAGACTTATGTCCTTGAAACAATTCTGCCACTTGATAAAATTCTCAAGGGCTCTGACAGTGTCCTTTAGAAGAACCAAGAACTTACCTAGAATTCATCCTTCACTGGGAAAAAATAAGTTACAAAAGCATTTCCCTCCCAATCTCACTCACAAATCTGCAGAATTATTTGTAGTTAGTACTATAAGGATGGCCAAAAGAAGACTTGTAAATAACATACAGTGATGTCTCAATGACTAAACAGTGGAAGGTACACATAAAGAGGCTCTTTGAAGTCACCAGATCAGCTGAGCTCACAGGCCCGAGGTTAAAAAGGCATCAGTCTCCCCCCACACTTTAATACTGTACAGTCCAAACCCGTAGGACTCATGAACATCTAAGCAGTTTTTGCTCTGAGCCACTTTTGGACAAAAATGGCTACATTTTCCCACTCTGTTGTTTTCTTAAACTAGTTCAATGTTTTATAATCTCCTAGTAATAAAGCAGCATTGTTTTCTAAGCTGTAACAGTTGACTTTATTCTTCTACTTTGAAAAATCTTGACTTGTTTGAATGTATATTATATATAAAAGGAGCCTTAATGTATTTGTTTTCATAATTAATATTTTTTGTATTTGTGCTTATATAAGTTTTTAATATAAAGTATTATAGAATTGAAGGTGGAATGCTTAGAATCAAACTTATTCATTTTTATTTTAATCCTCACCCAAAGGTATGTTAATTGATTTTAGAGAGGAAAGGAAAGAGAAAGAGAGAGAGAGAAAGAGAGAGAGACAAAGACAGAAATATCGATGTGAGAAACCTTAATCAGCTGTGCCCTGACCGAGGACTGAACCCACAACCCAGGTATGTGCCCTGAGCAGGAATCAAACCCACAACCTATTGGTGTATGGGATGACATCCCAACCAACTGAGCTACCTGGCCAGGGCAAACCAAAGTTATTCTTTTAAAAAAATTCCCCCTAATTTTTTTTTATTGATTTTAGAGGGACAGGAAGGGGGAGAGAGACAGAGACATCAATTTGCTGTTCAACTTATTATATGTATTCTTTGGTTGATTCTTTTATGTGTCCTGACTGGGACCGAACCCCCAACCTTGGTGTATCAGGACCATGCTCTAACCAACTGAGCTACCAGGTCGGGGCTCAAACTTATTCTTAATAAAAATCACTACATGCTTGGACCATGAAAAAAATAAAGAGCATGGTTATAAGAATCAGAAATGTCGGGGGCTGGTCAAGATGATGGGAGTACCTAAACACGGTACTCAGAACCTCACATGATCACATCAAAATTACAACTAAACTATAGAACAACCATCATTCAAAACCACTTGAAATCTAGCTGAAAAGAAGTCCTATAACTAAAAATAAACTGAAGAAGCCACATTGATACTGGTAGGAGGGACAGAGACACTGAACAGGCTGGTCCCACACCCACATACAGCGGTGAAAAACCGGGAGGGATATCTTCGCTGCAGAGGTCCCTCTCTGAGGAACAAGTGGTCCCAGCCCCACCCAGGCACCCCAGCCCAGGTTCCAGTACCAAGAAGAGAAGTCCCATAACTTCTGGGTATAAAAACCAGCAGGGATTGTGGCTGAGTGTGACATTCCTCTTAAATGGCCAGTGCACAGACTTACTCAGACTCACTCCCTCTGAGCTCCAGTGCTGGGGCATCAGGTCAAAAGGCACCAGAGGCATACGGGGAGGAACTGAACTGACTGGCATCACTGGCATCAGTGAGAGGGCTGGAGGGGCAGCTTTCTCCCAGACAGAAGTGCTGACAAAAGTCATTGTTTCTTTGCTGAGCCCTCTCCACACAGAGCTGGCAGGTGGGTGCCATATCTGAAAAACCATCAATATTTAACAAAATGGACTTTGAAACAAAAGCCATTAACAAGAGACAAAGAAGGATCCAGTACCTCCACTATTGGGTATTAATCCAGAGAAACCCAAAACAGTGAATTGAAAAAACATATACATCCATATGCTTACTGCAGCATTATTTACAATCACCAAGATATGGAAGCAACCTAAGTGTCCATCAATAGATGAATGGATAAAGAAGTGGTACATACATACAATGAAATACGATTCAGCCATAAAAAAGAATGAAATCTTGCCATCTGCAACAACATGGGTGGACCTAGAGGGTATTATGCTGAGTGAAGTAAGTCAGACAGAGAAAGACAAATGCCAGATAATTCACTTATATGTGGGATTTTAAAAAACAAATAAGCAGAACAGAAATGTACTAATAGATACAGAAAACATTGATAGCTGCCAGATAGGAGAGGGGGTTGGTGGGGGGTGGGTAAAAAAGGTAAAGGGATTTAGAAGTACAAATTGGTAGTTACAGAATAATCACAGGAATATAATGTATAGCGTAGGGAATAATGTAATACTATATATGGTGCCAGATGGGTGCTAAATTTATTAGGGTGATCACTATGTAAATTATGTAAATGTCTAATCATGGGATTGTATACCTGAAACAAATATAATATTGTATGTCAATTGTAATTTAAAAAGAAAAAAAAGAATCAGGAAAGTGATAAAATATGGACCACAGAGTATAAAAATATAGAGTTAAAAAGTTTTAGTATCAAACGATTTCCAAGAACTATTAAAAGCAAGCACTGGACTGCTTTTCTAAGAGTATCGGTTAAGGATTTACCACCTTCATGATAATATAGTAATCATTTACACTTGCATAATGCTTTAGAGTTTACAAAGTGCTATTCAAACTGAAATAAGCATGTAAGATTCATATTTTCAGAAGAAAGCACAGGACGAAAGTAAGGCAATGGGAGCCATAAGGAAAGATGAAAGAAAGTGGGGATAAGAAGGCTGTGGGAAGATGTCATAATTTTATTTCTATGTGTGTAAAGGACAAATGGCAGAGCAGCAACTGCTCTGTCTCCCCAGAGCAAGAAGAGCCTCACACACTATGGTATAAACACATTTCTTTCTGTTGTAGAGAATTCTGAAAATGAGTTATTAAAATTATATAACAGTTTAAAAATGAAATTTTCATATCATATACTCTTTTCCTCTGGTGGTCACACTTGAAATAATTTAGGTATCACCTAGAAAATTATTTTTAGGGTTCCTTCCAAATCTAATTCTATTTCAGGTTGTTATAAGAACATCTGTAAGAACAAGTTTCTGAAAATAATGCTTTATCACCCTGTTACAAATTACAAAGTTTACTTGTGAAGCACACTGTCTCAACTCAACCTAAAGTAGATACAGCAGTTTATGAACAGCACCAAGAAGAAAAGAAGTAAGGAAAAAGAAGTATTAAACCTTCAGATAATATTAGATATAGGAAAATTAACTAAACAAAATCATACTGGTATATTAATTTTTAATATTCCTTTGTAGCCCTGGCCAGGTTGGCTCAGTTGGTTGCAGTGTCATCTCCTTTGGATTCAACTCCCTGTCAGGGCACATCCTTAGGTTCTGGGTTCAATCTCCAGTTGGAGCACAAATAAGATGCAACCAATTCCTCTCTCACATTGATGTGTGTCTCTGCTTGCCCTCTCTCAAAATCAATAAACATATCCTTGGATAAGAATTTTAAACATTCCTTTGTAATGCTAAAATCTGGCATGCAATCTGCCATTGAGTTAGTTGAGAAAAAATAATTTAAAATAATATAAATATATTATTTACTTTAATATTGAACCCTTTTATGAATAAGAAATTAGCATCCCGTGAATTACAATGTAAAAAGAACAATTAGCATGGTAAAATCCATTGGCAACATGTTTTAATTCTTAGGTATGTTTCATGTTTTTAAAACTTAAGGGATAGTCCTGACTGGCAAGACTCAGTTGGATGGGCATCCTCCCACAAAGCAAAAGGTCACTGGTTTGATTCCAGGTCAGGGCACATGCCTGGGTTGTGGGTTCAGTCCCGGTCAGGGTACATACAAGAGGCAACTGATCAATGTTTCTTTCTCACGTTGATGTTTTTCTCCCCTTTCTTTCTCCCTCCCTTCCCCTCTCTAAAAATAGATAAATGTTAACAAATGTAAGGGATATAAGAGAATAAATCACAGGAAAGAAGAAAGTGTAAGATATACTTAAAGCTCTTCACTGAATAAAAATTTATCAATAGATTCTGGATTTAACAAATGTTTAAAATTAAAAAATAATTCCACAAATTAGTCTGGTTTAGGATCATATTAGTTAGCTAGGGTTGCCATAACAAAATACCACAGACTTGAGTTGTTAAACAACAGAAATTATTTTTCCTACCATTCTGGAGGTTAGAAATAAAAGACTAAGGTGCCATCAAGGTTGATTTCTGGTAAGACCTCTCTTCCTGACTTGTAGATTCTGCCTTTACCCTGCGTCCTCATGTGGTCTTTCCTCTGTGTGTACCTGTTGACGGGAGGGGTGGAAAGAAATATCTGTCTCTGGTATCTCTTCCTTTCCAGATAAGGATGCCAGTCCTTTCAAATAAAGCCACATCCTTATGTCATCATTTAACCTTAATAACCTCCTTAAAGGCCCTATTATCAAACCCAGTCACTTTGAGGGCTACAGCTTCAACATACTGGGGATGGGGGTGGGGGGGGCACATGTCACAATTCAGCCTTTAACAAGAATTTTTTGGAGAAAGTCCCCATACTTCAGGAGCTCCCAATTCTCCAATC